TTTACATTTACATGACGTGAAGTGATGGGTCCACGACTCTCGGGTTGTGTTTTTCTTCATTTTAAAAGAGCAAAAAAAGGAAAAAATTTCATTTATTTCATGTAAACCTGATTTCCTTCATCCACTCGATCTGTCTACTGCATTTTGCCACTGTATGTGTGAGTAAATCTGTATTTTTCGTTGCGAACTCAACAAGTAATTTCAAACTTTTTTTGTTTGTTTTTTTAATAAATCTGTATTTTTATAAATTGGGAATTTATTTTTCTTTTGGTTGTTTCGCTTTCTTGTTTCTATGGTGCTTTAGTTTTCACACCATTATTTAGCTTATCTTAGTCCGTTTTCCTGACCTAAAACTGGCGTGCTTTTTAACTGCAGTTTTCGAGGCAGTTTTTAGCCAATTTAATTCCATGCATGCAAGGAAATTTTGTTTTTTTATTTTCTACTTAATAAAATCACTTTGATGATTGCCTTATAAACTTAAACTGTTTATTTTAATGAGTTATTAATGTGTGTGAAACCCTTGTCAATAGGGGCAATACAGATATTTTGAAAGATTGAGTGACATTTGTGTTTTGTTTTGTCACTCTTTGTCATTTACAAAAACAACAATCCCGCGCTATTCTGCTTTCTTTCCACTCAAATATTGCATCTTTTAAATAAATAATAATTAAAATTTACAACTGAACCCAAACAAAACACCAGAATTCAACTTTTCATTCAAATTTCGTCTGTTTTTCACCAGATTTTTACTCGGAAAATAAAGAAAAATATAAACGTTTTGTTCACTGCGCACGTAAGGGGACTGAGAATGACGCGCAATGCCTTCAATTTCCGCCATGTTTGGCTACAGGGGGTCCAACTAAGAGCTGTGTTATGAGTATGAATAAAACATTAATTAAACGTAATATGAATAAAACATCATAACGTACTATATTTAAATTATTGCACTTACTTGTATAAATCATAAGAGCTTGTATTTCCAGTGAATAGCTTCAAACAGGTCGCTTATATATGTTCAGAAACATTGCTTCAAACGATTGTTCAAATATGGCGAATAAATTGACAAAACGAAAATATTACATGACGTTCCATCGAAAATAACAGCAGAGATTGCGGGCGCGCGAGCGAAAAGGCGAGGGAAGAAATAAATAAAAGGGATGAAACAAACATCACGTGACTTTTTAAAATGCTTCTAGACTATCCGTTTAAGCTTTTTGTGGGGTTTTTAAGGCTCAGTCAATGTTCTCTTACATGAACAAGCCTAGTCATTACCAAAAAGAACTGATCAATCTAAGTTATGTAATTTATAACAGCGAGCATTCTTGGCCATTTTCGCGAGATGTGTTCCAGAAGATGTGTTCGAGATGTGTTCTCGTGACGTATGACGAAATAATAATAAAACTAAATAATGTAAAAAAAAACGTTGGTCGCTACATTTAAATATTTCATATTAGCCGGTATAGCTAAACATTGTTTATTTTCATTAATTAAGCGCTTAGGCGTTGTTGGAGTTGGCAGGAAGCGTTTTGGAATTTTCCGAGAGAACAGGCTACTTATGGAACACATCACACGATCACCCTGGCCTTCCGCTCGCGCCCGCAATCCTTGCTGTTATTTTCGTGGGGACGTCATGTGATATTTTCGTTTTGTCAATTTATTCGCCATATTTGAACAATCGTCTGAAGCAATGTTTCTGAACATCTAAGCGCCCTGTTTGAAGTTATGTTTGCATTTGTTGTGTTTCTGAGTTTAGTTGATGCGATTGCTTTACGTTTTCGTCGTACTTGAACGGTCGTCAGTACTGGCACTGACTACATAGGACATAAATATAACTACAAGGCTAGCCACTTATCTGATATACCCTAGTAGTAATATAGAGGCCGATCGATCCGGATTTTTGGGGCGGCGCGGGGCGGCGCAGCATCATTAGCATACGTCATAATTACATGCAATGACGTCACGAGGGTAAGATCAGGCAAGTAATAACGTCATGCGGGTGAGCTTAAACACGATCGGGCGAAACTTGCTGACTACGCATTTTTTAGCGTCCCACGCGTGTGTTGAATAGTTTGTGTCACTCGCATGGCAAAATTGTTATCGAAATTAATATATAGCAGAGTTATAGCCGTATCTTTGCTCGGAAGAGATAAATTTCCACAGGTATATTGAAGGATTTTTCGTATGTTCCATAGCGAGGAATCTTTTCCTTACAAAAATCAAGACATATTTTAAACTAAACAGTTCCTAATCCCGAGTTGTCAACGTCGTTGTTATGGTCAATATTTACATGTTCAAGATTATTTAGCAATCCTCCTACATACATATATACTGTTAAGATGATCATAAGAAAGCTTATCAAGAGTAGAAGTTAGAATTAGAACAGTTGTAATATTTTTTGACACTATCGTCTGTTATTTGTATCAATAAACATGTTTTAAACTTTGCAAATGTTGCGTTGTTATGTGTTGCTAAGTCATTAGGAGGCGTGTAGGTAATTAAGGGGATTAAGGTAATACGAATTTGCATAACTAAGTGTATCCCGATGGATAGATAAGGATTATTTTTAACGCAGGTGTATACCTTAAAATCAGGCGCGTGGCTTTGCGGGTACATGTATATATTAAAGTACAACATATTTGTACACGGATCTTTTCGCGTGGGCGGAAAGAGCGGGCTTTGCCGGCAAAAAATTGCACAATATTTCAGTTTTTAAACACATTTACTTCTTCAAAATGTTTTACAAAATTTAGTAAGGTCTACTTCTAAGAGCGTAACGTCTAGGTGTTTTTGTTATTTTTAAAGAGTTCTCATATTCTTGTCTATCTTCTGGGGATAACTTTGCAAGTTTTTCCGGCTTCATTGGAATATATTTCGGTCTATCGCTCAATATAAAACGTTCATAATCCTCTCTTGCTTCCGGAGTCATTCGCGCTAGGTCACGTTCTGTCCAATCTGCTGGGTGTTTTACTTGTCCATTTTTGGTGTGAACTCCAATCCGCTCGCCTTGCTGTTAGACGTACCATACGAACATAGCTCGCAGAAACCAATGACATGCGAAAACAGTAGAGGTACCTGACTGCTCATCACATATCATGCATTGAGCGTCTTTGCCCCAGTAGAAATCTTTCCACGAACATCTTGGGCACTTCATTAAGTATACAATGTGACCAGTTTCTTCTCCACAATGGTTACAAGCTAGTTTCTCGGGTTCACCATCATCCTCATTATCATCATCCTCATTATCATCATATTCGCTTTCATTATCACTCTTGTCAGATTCCCAGTTCTCTTCACCAGATTCGCTTTCAACATCACTCTCAGATTGTGGCATTTCATGTTCCTCCTTTGCCATTTTTGACAATAAATACTCGTTTTTTATTAAATCTTTATTAACCCCTGCTTCTACTAGACCTTTTGTAAACAGGTCGAGCCCTCGTGGTTCAGGAATGTGAGAGTTGTATGGTAAAAGTGCGTATTGTAAAACGTTCTCGATGTTAGTACCAGGAATGTCTCTTCCATAATAAACAATCTCACCCTGAGGATTCCAAGTCAAAATATCACTTGATATAAGAATAAAATGTAGCATTTTTTCTGCTGTAGTTTTTTTGACATTATTGTTCAGATACAAAAGTATATCTTCAATGCGCCAATGTCGCGGAGATGTTTTTCTCCCGATGTTCATTGTTGAAATGATGTAAAACTTGTAGTCACAGGGCTTTTATACAAGTTCAGCCAGGCTTTCCAAAATAAGACTTAGTAATAGTCCAAGGAAACCTTCACCATGTTGAATGAGTATCCGTTTTTTTCTTCTTCCACATTTTCCTCTATCTGCCAACCTAAGCATTTCATGTCTGTAAGGTCTGAGTTTCTTCATTACATGCTTCGACATTAAATATTTTCTTTTCATAACGTTTTCTACACAGAGACACAGGCAGTGTACTTGCCCGGCGGTTGCTGTTTCCAGTAGTGCTTGTTGTTGATCAGGCTCAGACGTGCCCAACAATTCAAGAAATGGCTTGTGCCTTAGAAGATTGATCATTTCTGTTCGACGGTTTGGAAGCAAATGAGTAAAACACAACAATAAGGAAGCTTATATCGGAAGAGAGAAAGCAATTTAGACAAGTCTCCGAGCCTAAGGAGCTCGGAGCTGACTCCGAGCCTAAGGAGCTGGCTCCGAGCCTAAGGAGCTGGCTCCGAACCTAAGGAGCTGGCTCCGAGCCTAAGGAGCTGGCTCCGAGCCCAAGGAGCTCGGCTCCGTTATCCCCAGAAGATAGACAAGAATATGAGAACTCTTTAAAAATAACAAAAACACCTAGACGTTACGCTCTTAGAAGTAGACCTTACTAAATTTTGTAAAACATTTTGAAGAAGTAAATGTGTTTAAAAACTGAAATATTGTCCAATTTTTTGACCCTGATCTTCATCCAGACGACACTTTACGTGCTTTTGACGAATTTATGGAGAGCTTCGAGTTCCGATATGATGCACAATATCCTGATCCTCCTAAAACATCTCTAGATGCGGCTATTTAACGATGGAAACTCGCAAACGACGATAAAAAGCCAACGCTTGATGATTATGACAACATTCGCGACGAATGGCGATCAAAAGATCGCGTGACAAAACTCCTCGGTATATTCTCATCGAAACGATTGTTTGCTGACTGGAAAGTCGCAGAACCGGATGATTCCAAAAGAGCTAAGGTGACGTTGAAATATTTCGTGACAACAATGCAACAGCACTACAAACCAACAGAAGATCTTACACTTAAAAACCACCAGTTCCGGTCTTTGGCACAGGACGCCCATGAGTCATTTCCGACATTTTGCAATCGCGTATATAAAGCAGCTCAACACTGCAATTTCAAATGCCACAATGACGATTGCACTGCCGAAGATACAGCCATACGTGACCAGATTATTATTGGCACTACACATGACAAGATCAGAGAGGAAGCCCTCAAAAATTCATGGGACCTCCAATAATTCAGCAAGGAAGGAATGCAAATTGAAAGTGTCACCAAAGGACTAGAAGAGTTCAACAATGAAAATCCAGTCAACAAAATGGGTAAATACTCCTTTAAAAACATGAAGAAAAAACCTGAGGCAGGAAAGCCTCGGTCATGTTACTACTGCGGACAAGACATCAAGACATCCGTTATTGCTCACCTCAAATCCTGCAGAGCACGAACCAGCACATGTAACTTCTGTGATGCAATTGGCCACTATGAAACTGTATGTAGGAAGAAGAAAGCAATCAATGAACTGAAAAACGACAGCGAACAACAAGAACATCAAATCGAAGATCATGACCACAGCGGCGTCTACAGCATCAACATCTTCAGAATAACCGAAACACCTCAGCAACAACCTCCTCATAAGAGACGCATGAAAACCAGAGATTTCAACGCACAAGTCATCATCAACAATAGCCTTGCAAAAGTGTTGGCTGACACAGGTGCAAGTATCAGCGTCTGTGGAAGAGAGCAAGCGCAAAAATGGAACCTCCTGTCCAGAATGGTCCCAACCACGACCAAAGATCAAGCCATATAACAGCCCGACAATACCAGTTATTGGAATTGCCAAATGCGCTGTCACATTTGGCTCCACATCCATTCCAGTTGATTGGCACATAATTGATACACCATGTGAACCTGTACTTGCAGGACAAAGTGCAGTACAACTGGGGATAATCCAGTTTGACCCTCAGCCCGAAGTTTACCAACCAGTACAGATAATCCAGTGTAGCAAAAAGGAAGCGCTTCAAGACATCTTAAAGAAATATCCGCAGAATTTTGAAGGGCTTGGAAAGTTGAAAAACCACCAAGTTAAACTGCATGTCGACCCCAGTGTTAAACCCGTTGCCTCCCCAGCTCGACCAGTGCCATATCACTTGAAGGAACGTATCAGAACAGAGATTGACAAGATTACCGCCCAAGATGTCATTGAAGAACATCCATCAACAGAACCAGCACCTTTGGGTGTCAAACGCAGTTATTGCACCCAAATCGGACGGCGCCATTCGTATGACCCTTGACGCTCGTAATGTGAATAAAGCGATCCAAGATTCCAACCTGCCCATCCCAATGCAAGAAGACATTAAAGCTAAACTTAGCGGAGCGAAGGTGTTCTCGAAGATGGACTTTAAATCGGCATTTTTGCAACTTGAACTCCACCCAGATTCCCGGTACCTTACGGTGTTCCACGCAAACGACAAACTATACCGACATAATCGACTCACCATGGGCGTAAAGCCAGCACAAGGAGAACTTAACATGGCTCTTCAACCGCTTTTCGCACATATTCCACAAGCACACCTCATCCATGATGACCTTATTGTTGCAACAGAAACCGATGGAGAACACCATTCCGCGATTACTGCCGTCATGCAAGCCATCACTAACGCTGGTATAACCCTTAATCCAAGCAAGTGCACTTTCGGAGCCACTGAGATCGAATTCTGGGGTTTACGTATTGGTTCCGCACGAGTACGACCAGATCCCGGCAAAGTGGAAGCACTAAAGCACATCACACCGCCTCGATCAAAGGAAGAATTGATCAGTTTTCTCTGTATGATGCAGTCCAATGCCGATTTCATCCCAAACTTCGCACAACACGCGGCCAAACTGAGAGAACTGACCAAGAAAAATAGTCGATTCACATGGACGAAAGAACACCATGCCGCTTACGAAGCATTAATCGAACGATTCACAGTAAATACCCTACTCGAGTATTTCGACATGAGCGAGCCAACTTTCATTTTCACCGATGCACACACTACTGGACTTGGGGGCCATGCTGGCACAAGGAGATACACCAGAGAGCGCAAGACCAATTGCCATAGCTTCTTGAACAACAAACAAGGCCGAGCAGAG